TTTATAATAAATCAGTATAAAAATGTACAAAATGATATGAAGTCATTGTGTGATTGTTGTTAAATACTAAAACTGCACATATATACACGAATATAACGTTTATACAATATATACGAAAATTAATCAATACTTAAATATTATAACTAATTATATCTATAAAAAATTGTATCTATACATGCGTGCGGGCCAATCATCTTGTGTATATATATATATATATTATATCGTAAGAGAGTACATATAAAGATGGTTTGGCGCAGTGGTTGAAGAATTTTGAATATAACTTTGTGCCTTCTGTTTAATACTTAGGTGTGCAATATGTCCATTAATCCTTGCACTTTCTATCTTATATATTACTAGGAGAGGTCCGTGCGTAGGACGGATTTGTTATATTTTGATGCCATATAATAATAATATTTATACTGTAATCTGTTTTTTTAATAATAATATGTAAAAAGATTAAGAATTTAATTACTAATAAAAAGGATCTAAAATTATTATATTATTTTTTCTCGATAATAAGAATATATTGTTCTGTAATATAACCATTCAGAAATATATTTACGGTGAAATTTATGACTATAAAATAAAATATTGATATTTTTAGTCTTTTTAGATTATCAAAACATATAGTACACTTACCATCTTTTTCTTTTATAGTTTATGTTTGTGTAGTTGAATTTTTATTATTGACGGAGTGGACCCATAATTTAAAGATAGAGTTTATGATTGGTTAATAGAGTAAGAGAAATTCTCCTGTAATATAATGCATATAATATATTTTTTATTGGATTTGTGGTAGAACTAAAAGATTGATTTGTTAATTGAATGCTCTATGGTGTTTGTTATTTGTAGTTTATTGTTTTTTTTATAGCATATGATTTTGGTTAAGTTTAGTTATAGTATTTTTTTAATGTTTTATTTTCTATTTGTTATTTGTAATGTGGTAAGATAATACAGTCTTTTGGTTAATTGCGTCCATTTTTTTATGTCTTTAATTGTCAGGTTTTTAATTTGATTTTAATATCTACATCATTGACCCACAATTAATTGTTGTTGATTTTTTGATTAATTATATTTGACCACCAATTAAATATTGAGTAATTATTATATTATTTGTTGGTCTTTTTCTTTTTTAGATTATATTGATCATATTAAAAGTGAAAACATTACATGATGGATTCATGTAAAAACTGCATCTTTGGTTTATTAGAACAATAATATTTCTTCAAAAACTTAGAAACAATGGCAATGCAAACATATTCAAAAATAGAATAAGCTGGAGAGAAATTTACTATATTTTAGAGAAAAAAATAGAAAAATACATTGGAGATTATCTTAATGTTTAATATATTATTCAATGTTAAGAAAAATAAATATGAGTCAAAAAGACAAAAAAAATAAAGAAGAATAATTTTGATCGATTTTATATTTTATTTGAAATATTTAAAAATATTATCTTACAAATATTAGTTATTATTTTTCCAACATATTAAAATATTATTTTATAAATTATATTTTTTATATGTTCTGATCCATTATATTTTATATTAACACATATATCAAAGTTAGGAATAAAAGAACACTTAATTTTTAAAATAACAATAAATTATTAAATGTATTATTTTACACCTTAAACCATACACAAATAAGTTTAAGATCCGACTGGTTTAAACATTGCAGTTATAGAAAGTTTGTGGAAGCGAGCGATTACAGGCTATAAAAAAATTGACAAAGAGATGAGCAGAGAGCTAGCGGAGAATTTTATAAAATATGATTTCACAAATTTTATAAAAAATATTTATTATAATTTTTATTGAGAAATTTATATCATAAAACACTGAAAAATAAGAAGTTTTGATTAAATAGAAAACGATAGAAATGGATTTCGTAATTATTGATAAACGCCAAAAACTGCATAGTGGAAAAACATAACGTTTGCGAAAAATATCAGAAAAATTAACCATCATCTCAAGATTACAATTCACTAATTTCTAACTCATATTTACATGCATAAATATATGTATTTTTCAAAAATAAAATTCAAGTATACATTATAAAAATATATAATAAAACATATATTTTTTTAACACATAAAACATTTACTTTTATTTTTTTTACAAATATGCGTGTGAATATAAATATTAATTGTGCAAAAATCAAAGTCGCATGCGAACAGTCGTGCATGCATTTTGTTAACCTCGATTATAGTCTAATTTTAATTTTAGTTATTAGATAATTTATACTCTCTTTGTTTCTAAAAAGAAAATCTTCTAGAAACAAATCTGTTTGAAAAAGATGAAATTTCTCATTTTTCAATTTAGTTTTTGTTAAGTATTTCTAATTTCACCCTTATTTTTTTATCTATTTTATATTGTATATGAATAAAAACAAAGGGCAAATATGTCATTTCAAGATTTTTCTTTATAAGTGTGAAAATTTCAAAAAATTATTCTTTAAGGAACATATGAAATATTTTAAAAATCTCTATATGTCCTAAGACTGGTGAGGTGGTTTGTCTGCACGAATGTGTGGACTAACCATCTGCCCGCTTTTGGGGATAAGTAAAGATGGTAAAACCCATTTTTGTTTAATTAGCAATATGTCAAAGAAATATGTATATTTAAAATATATATACTGACAAGATTATATTATATAAAAAGAAAAAAAAATATAGGATAGATAATCTTCAAAACATATAATAAGAATTCAATTATTATCTAATATAAATTTTATTTTTGAAATTAAATGTTACTCTAAACGTTAGAAAATAAATAAAAAAAGTTTTTCAAAAGACACAAAACGATATGAAATATTTGTGTGATTGTTGTTAAATACTAAAATTGTATATGTATAAAAACATAACATCTACATAATGTATAAGAAAATTAATGAATACTTAAATATTACAATTAATTATGTCTATAAAAAAAATTATACATGTACATGCATGCGGGTGAACCATAAAAATTAAATAAATTATTATGTATTTTATTGTTTTTCAGTTTATTTAGTTATCATATTTATACCTTTTATTTAAAATCTTGATTAATATTTTTTTTACAAATATTAATAGAACAATTTTAATATACAATATTGATTATATATTGTATATCTAATGGGGTTTCTCTCGCTTTTGGCTTGGCATAGCGGGCCCCCAACAGGAGGCCCACACGACGGGCTATTAGCTCAGTGGTAGAGCGCGCCCCTGATAATTGCGTCGTTGTGCCTGGGCTGTGAGGGCTCTCAGCCACATGGATAGTTAAATGTGCTCATCAGATATTTGAAAATGGAAGTTTCATCGATATTAAAGTGGTGGTCAGTCTTTTAGGCGCTAGGAGGGCTTTCAAGCTTTGATGTAACCATTTATTCGTTGTTGGAATTGATGAGCCAAACAAGGCAGTTCTCAGCCTTCTATAGTATCCGTTTGAATACGAGACAAAGGGGTTCCTCTATGGGCCTATCTCTCACTTTCTAATACTACTTATTGCTAGCTAAGGAGCTAGAGTATACTAGTCTAGCTTCCATATGAAACTCTTGACTTTACAGTAGTTGTGGCATACGCTTCCCTTTCTGAGTCTGATTTCGATGCTAATTTTCCAGTTGATGGGGAATTGACGGCCCTTTCATTGACAAGTAGTTCGTCTAACTTCGATTCCCTAAAGGCAAACGCGTAAAAATGTTTTATAGTCCGCACACAGTATAAACCGATCATCTAATTGTTTATTAGTTGTTGTAATCATATCTAGCTTCTCTATTTACTCTTTTTAATTATGTAGTAATTGCATTTATTTCGGTTGATTCAGTTTTCGGTCAAAATGTTAAATTATTTTTGTTTAAGTAATTTATCAACTTATCATCAAAGTCAACTTTTAGTGTTTCCTGTATATTTAAAATTTTACTGTTTTGAACTTCAAACTAAATGAGTTTTATTGCTTGACTTTGATCTGAGTTTTTCTATTTTGGTAAAAGACAAATGTATTTTATCAATATACTTTTGAATTTTACCGATTAGTAAAATTTTGGGGCCAAGATTTACATGCTACACTTCATCAATTTTATAACGTGAGTTTTTAGTCAAATTAATGATTAACTAACTTTCTTCGTGTCAGTTCTGTTTTATGACATTTAGATAAGAAAAACAGTAGTACTAAACTTTGGATTGACTACAAAAATACAAAACCTATTTTGTTGAGGTTAAAATACACTATTTTCTGCAAGAATCAACTAACTACCACAATAATCCTAAATAGCCGAAAAAATCCAAACTGACTAAACTTAATTATATACAACATTGGATAGATGTTTGACTAGTTATTTACACTGAGAGGCATTTTTTGAGTTTCTAGTTACAAAAGAGGCATTTTTTGAAACTGAGGCACTTTTGCTATTGAATTGACAATTATATTCTTGTGTCTAAGTGATGAAAATCGATTCGCGTCCATGCATTGGTGTCCATCCGTAGTCACTATCATTTAGTGTCTATTGAATCATAGTATAACTATTACTTAGTAATAATTTATATCCATTGAGCTGTGTTTATCAGACTGTGTCCATTTGGTGTCCATCAATCGTCACTATCACTTAATGTTTATCAAATCATATTATAACTATCACTTAGTAATAATTTGTATCCATCGAACTGTGTTTATAGATGAAGTCCATTAAGTTGTGTCCAACAAAAAGAGTATTTACAAACATTTAAGTAAAATAGATAAGAAAAATACGAGAAAGTGCGTTAGTTTTTTGTAATTGATAACTCAAAACTCATGTTTGACTGATTTTATCAACAGTATTATCTCTTGATTAGATTTTCTTCCTGTTATGACATTTCCTAAACCCTAAGACTAAAAGCCACAGCCGAGAATGAGAGTGGAGAGGGATTAGAGAGGGCAATTAACGAATATTTGTACAATTTCTATCCGTTCAAGCCTCCAAATTTCTGGGAGCTCTAGTGTCTTCTTGAGGCCATAGCTAGCTCTAAACATTCATTTGGGAAATCGATGGGATTTTCAGGGGATATTGAAGGAGATGAAGCCTGTGATCGGCTTATCAACGTGAACGATGAGATTCTCCAGAGATCTGATGTCGCCTTGAACGAGCACGCAATTGGTCTGGATTTGGAGAAAGAGAAGGCAGAGAAAAAGAACGAAATTGCTGGCTCTAAGGTTGATGTTAAGAAATTTGCCAATTATGGAAACGCAAAGGTTTCTTTCCATATAGAAACGATAAAGAAGCCTCAAGAGGAGTATAGAATTTCGGTGAACAACTCGAATTTGCCGTTTGAGCATATTTGGTTAGAGAAGAGCGAGGATAGTCTCCGCTTTGTTCATCCACTGGTTAGTTAGTCTTTCGAAACATGATTTTTGCGGAATAATTAGTTCCTTTTGTTTGATTTATCAACTCGATCGTCTTTGGAATCACGAGTTTGCTGAAAAGTAGTTCGTCTTGTTTGTTTGATTTACACCGACTCAAGCAACTGTGAAATATGATTATTCTGAATAAATAGTTCTTTTTGTTTGATTTCTGGACTCAAGCAACTTTGGAAACATGGTTGTGCTGACGAAGTAGTTGGTTTTGTTTGACTATCGACATTAGTTTTGGTGACAATACTCTTTGAAAAGACTATTTATGCTTCTTTGTTTGAAGGTGAGGGGTGGGGGAAGATAGGCTTAGCATTACGTTGAGTCTTTGCTTCCTCATCTGAATATCTTGATTCTGGATTTGTAATTTATTTTTATTTTTAGAGTTAGTTTTCTGCATGTGATTGTTTTTGCAAGCTCCTCCTGTTTACATACATCTTTGTAATACTTTGCAGGAGAGACTTTCTTTGATGGACTTTGTTGATAAAAATATAACAGAGATGAAACCTGTTAAGCCCCTCCCGTTGGAAGGGACTCCATTCAAGCCTGTTGAAGAAGTCAATGATCTGAAGGATTTAGCTGCTAAATTGAGTAGTGTCGAAGAGTTTTCTGTAAGATTCTTCCTCTGAGATTCTAGCTGCTAAAATTCTTCCTGTGACGTTTGTTTTAGTCTAATGTTTAATGCATTGTTGGAAGGTGACACTCTTTGGTGGTGGATGTATGAAGTTTGATTATGTTATGAGTTTTGTTCATTTAACTGTAGGAAATTTTCTGAAACTAAAATATTGGTGAGTTACCAATATGCGAGTCATTTCTGTATTTTGAAGAGGATGGGAATTTTCTGACTATGCTTTCTCTCCTAATATTCTTCGTTCTCAGTATATAAAAAGACAGAAAGAATTTAAATTAAATGTCATATCTTTTGATTATACTTACTCCCCTGATTATGCTAATATCTCTTCCTTCCTCTCTTAATATTCTTTTTTTTTTTCTTTTGAAGGTTGATCTGGAGCATAATCAGTATAGATCTTTTCAAGGATTAACATGCTTGATGCAAATCTCTACCAGAACCGAGGACTATGTAGTTGATACTTTCAAGCTTTGGAATCACATTGGTACATATCTCAGGGACATCTTCAAAGATCCTAAAACGAAAAAGGTTTTCTCAAATTCCCAAAGTTTCTTTTTACAGAATCTCCTATAATATAAGTATTGCAGTACTGAAGAAATGGAATCTAACTAGGTAATGCATGGAGCAGATCGAGATATTATTTGGCTTCAACGGGACTTCGGCATATATGTCTGCAATCTCTTTGATACAGGACAGGTTTGATTTCTGGTCATTTTTTTTTTTTGCAAGCCACGGAATTTTTCTTGTATGCGTATGAGATCGCTTTATTATAATTTGTTTTGGTAATGTAGCAGAATGAAGACAATATATTGATATAAAATGAAACTTACCTTGTCTGTCATCGCTGAATAAAAAGAACAATTCTATCTCTGTGTTATTTTTTTCCATTATCACCACACCGGAATGTCATTCATCAATTTGCGATGGTTCCTTTAGTGATGTTCTTGTCATGAAACAATAGTTTGATTCCATTGAATTTTTCAGGCCTCAAGGGTGTTGAAGCTGGAGAGAAATAGTCTGGAATTTCTTCTAAAGCATTATTGTGGAGTTGCTGCAAATAAACAGTGCATAACTATTCAAATTTGTATATTCTTTGTTTTTCATCTTCTCACTTATCGCTCAACGTCTTCTTTGCTAATTGGCTGCAGGTACCAAAATGCAGACTGGAGAATACGACCCCTTCCAGATGTAATGACAAGGTCTGATATATTCTTTCTAGTCTCTTCATTACTATTTTGTAATGGTTGAGTTAAGCTCACACTTTTATTTGGCAGATATGCTAGAGAAGATACGCATTATCTTTTGTACATTTACGATGTAATGCGAATAGATCTGCACACAATGGCAAGGGCAGACGAGCAAGCCGACTCTCCTCTGATAGAGGTAATAAACATAAGCTACTCACAAGATAGATCCTATGTTTGTGTAACAAATCCCACCACTTTTTACGTGGTCTATTAACCTCTGTAGTTTAGATTGTTCTGGAGAAAATGATAATTGAGATTAATGTGGATTAAGCTTATATTAATTGATGTACAAAATTCCATTGTAAATCTGATGTACCCCGTAATTCTTCTCTCTCAGTCTCTGCTAATATTTTCTTTGATGTCTCTTTTTCACATAAACTCTCTATGGTTGGTGGCGTTCATATATTTCTTGAATGGGTGACTTGAGTCCATAATCTTACATATGCTTGTTCTTCAAATTTTTTTTAAATAACCAATTTGACGTAGTTACCTATGCTAACAGGTCTACAAGCGCAGTCATGATGTGTGCATGCAGTTATATGAGAAAGAGCTTTTGACCAGGAATTCATATCTTCACATTTATGGGTTTGTTGCTTATTGTCCCCCTCATGAAAGATATTATATGCTGTAGTTTTATTTGTTGCACCTGGTATACTTGTTCTTGGCTATCTAGTGAATCTTTTTTTTTTTTTTTGCTTTCAATACGGACTTAGATTAATCTGTAGTATTTGTTTCCGTTCGAGCATTTTGTTAGGGTTCAGGCAGCTAATTTCAATGCGGTTCAACTTGCCATTGTTGCGGTATTTTCTCAACTTGCGTAATGAACCAAACACCTTTCATCGGCTTTTTGGTTTTACCATAGGGAGCTTGCTTAGTAATTGCTGCCTTGCAGGGCCTTTGCCAGTGGAGGGATCGGATTGCCCGTGAAGACGACGAGAGCACCGGTTATGTATTGCCAAATAAAACTCTTCTTGATATAGGTAGATATTTTACTTTCCCATCTCAAGGTTCTTGGATATTCTTAGGTCTTTTTCGACTCTCTCTAACTTGGTCTAATTGCTTTTTTTTTTATAGCTAGGGATATGCCAATTAATGCTGGCAAGTTGCGACGAGTGCTGAAGTCAAAGCTTCCTTACATCGATCGTAACGTTGACGCGGTGGTCAATGTCATCAGACGATCAATGCAAAATGCAGCGGCATTCGAGGCAGTTGCTCAAACTTTGAAAACGTCGCGTCTTGGACCTGTAAGTTATTTATTATGTTGTTAATTGTAGTTATTACTTCTTTTGGGGTTCTTTCTATTTATATTAACACTAAAATATGAATGCCTTGCTTTCTATTCTCGTCCCTCGAGCTGTTTAATGATTGGCATTATATAGTATGTTTATGGAAAATATATTTCTGAACTGTAAGGTTTCAGTTGGGGTGTATGCGCTTTGTGAAAAGCAATTAGCAGTGCTAATATATGGTTGTGTGGTTAAATTTGTTAGGTCTTATAGAAACTAGGTTCAAGCCTATTGGTTTATCAAGATCTACTTCCTGTACTGTTCAATAGCATGTAAACTTGCAAAGAAAACCATAACTAGAAGCGAGTAATTTACAAGGGCTACACGTTAATCTAATTTTCTCTTTATGACATTGACAGCTTTATTGCATGCACTTGCTAATTATTTCTAGTGGAAATTTTCTGTTTATTCGTTTTGGCTTTTCTTATTTTTGCTCTTTCAGAAGAAAATTGAAAGTACGTTTGAGGAAACAGGCAAAGAAGCTGCAGCGGCATCTCGGAGTTTAAAGAAGTTTTTGCCGGTTAAAAGTAACATAGGGGTCGTCAGCACCACGAGCTTGGTTGGTGTAGAAAAGGTGAAGCTCACTTATTATTTCGCTTTCAAAAAATATTTGTCTTATATTCCTAATCTATACACAAAAAGACATGAGAGTATTTGTGGTCAGGTCTCTGTGGATGTTTCAAAGAAACAAACCAGTGGTTTCGGAGCTTTGCCGTCAAAGAGGAAGTTTGAAAGTGATAACAAGGTAAGGTTGTTATTGTCTGAGAAATGTGAACTTTAACAGAGATTTTTGTTGAAAACTGGATTAATTGGCTACTACTAATCTGTTGAGAAACAAGTTGCAGGCAAAAGAAGAGGTCAAAGTATTCAAATCGATGCCAAATGAGGTAACAATAGTGGTGGATGATGATGTTGAGTCTGATGAAGACACCTCGGAAACCGATGATGCTGCGGATAGACTGTCAGAAACGCCTTTTAAGGTGCCGGATATTTCACTGACTCCAACCCCAAAGGCATGTGGTCCGGATATTATAGTGTTATCCGATGATGACTCCGACGATGATGCCTCAGATAACGACTCAGAAACTGGAGATGGTATGAAAACGGAAGATGAAGGGATGAATCTGAGAAGTAAGGAGCAGGGAAGATTCATGAGTATGAAACCGGGGTTTCTCGACATTTAGCTGTTTGATTAGCTTTTACCGTACAGTGTGCAATGGATTGTCTTTGTGGCTAGTATTGTATATCTCGGAAGTGTACAATGTACTTTGTCTTATATGTTTAGTGTAATTTTGACTTAACCCAAGCCAGAACATACTGCTTTACATTGGAACGCACTTTTTGCATTTTGGCTATCAAAATAGACATTTCAGCTCTAGGACACTTTCATGTATTTTTTTTTTTTTTCCATCTGAATTTTCATTAAACGTCAAAGTATAGACTGTATTACAAACAGTACCAGAGAAAGGATCAACAAACAATCACCAACGGAGCTTAAAACAAATAACCTTACCCAACAGCAAGATTACTTTCCAAAAGAAACAGATGTTTAAGCCAAAATGGAAATCCAGAAGCGACATATGATTGCCAACGATCCTCACTTGTAACACTACCAGCTATAAGAGAAGCACCACGATTTGCTTCTTTTCTTTCATGCATAAAGCGGTAACAAGAAATGGGAAGGAGCGCTTGTGCAAGAGACAAAGAGTAGAACTTGAAAGATGGCCAAGCCGCTGGTCTAGTAATCATTCCTTTCAGTTCTGAAGAGTCACCTGCAAATATTACCTTTGTAATACCAAGATCTTTCATGCTATTAATAGCCCACAGCCAATTTTTAATATTTGCAACCAGTCGAGAGCTAATAGAGGAGAAAGACATTCTACTGTGAAGAATAACTTTTCCATCCTCTTCTCTTAAAACCCAACTAGCTCCACCTGATTGAAGTCTTTTATTCCAAGAGGCTCCAATATTGCATTTAAACCATTGATGCGGAGGAGCCAACCAAACAGTTTTCGTTTTTGTGAGAGACTCTCTCTCACGGCATTGAAACGAAAGGTCCAAAGACTGAGCTTGGAACCATTGGTTAACATCATTCAAAATCTTTTCCATTGTATCCAAAATGTGGAATCTCATTCCTTCAAAAATGAAGTTGTTACGATTCTTCCACAACATCCACAAAATCCAGGGAAAAGATCTTCTTATTAAGATTGGGACAGCAGCAGATAAACCAATTCTCAAAACATAGGACAAGTTCTAATAAACCGATTCACGATGAAAACCACCATCAGGAGAAGGGAATAGAGACAGAGCCCATACCTGTCTTGCCAAGGTGCAGTCAAAGAGAACATGATTTGATGATTCTCCCACAAATCCACAAACTTGACATCTTTCATCTATCTTCATCCCTCGTTTTAAGATATTATCGGCCACTGGAATAGCATCACTAAGAACCTTCCACAAAAAAGTCTTGATCTTATTTGGAGCTTGAATATTCCAAACCTGATTTTTAAGACCATTTAAAGAAGGCATTGTGATTGCCTCTCTCAATTCCTCAGCTCTGAAGATCTGTGTAGCTAGCCAATAACCTGACTTCACAGAGTACTCTCCCCCTTTACTATGATCCCAAACCCAAAAATAATCAACCTCCAACACTGGATTAATCTTTAGTATTATCTGGGAATCTCTTGGGTAAAACAGTTCCCTAAGTTTATCCCTGTCCCACCACTTTATTGTTTCGTCTATAAAATCGAAAACCCGCAATTCTAAATCCACCAGAATGTTCATCGTCAAAGGAGCTCGCATCTTTTTATCTTTTAGCCATTGAGAGGACCAAACTCTTATGGATCTGCCATTTCCTACCATTTGCGAATAGCCCTTTCTTCAATAAATCTCTTCCATGAAGAATGCTTCGCCAAGCAAAAGAAGGTCTAGCACTCATTTCATCATTTAAAAAGTCAGTATTTGGGAAATACCAACTTTTGAGGAAACGGGCAAAGAAACAATCAGGCACCTGCAAAATTCGCCAAGCCTGTTTAGCCAAAAGAGCTTGATTGAAGAGATATAAATCTTTAAAACCCAAGCCTCCTTGATCCTTAGGAATACACATCTTTTTCCACCTTATCCAATGTGTCTTCCTATTATTTTCTGCTGAATTCCATCAATAGTCAGCCATTGCACTCGACAAGTTCTTACAGGTTGTCTTAGGGAGCTCAAAACACATCATAGCATAAACCGGCATAGCTAGTGCCACCGATTTCAAAAGAACCTCTTTTCCCCCTTGAGAAATCAACCTAGCATACCATCCTGTCATTCTTCCTTTCATTCGCTCTTTAATGTAATCTAACATCTTCACTTTAGATCCACTAAAACATTTAGGTAAACCAAGGTAAACACCCGCACCTCCTTCAGGTAGAATACCTAATTTTTGCTTAACTATTACTTTAGTATCCTCTGCCACCTTAGAACCAAAAGTAATAGAAGATTTGTCAACATTAATAGTCTGACCGGTTACTTCTTTGTAGAGGAGAAGGATATTTTTAATGGCTTCACATTGGGCTGCATCTGCTCTACACAAGAATAGAGTATCATCAGCAAATAACAGATGACGAAGAGAAGGACCCTCATTCGAGAACCTGATACCATTTAATAACCATGACCGTTCTGCTTTATTCATCAAATATATCAATCCTTCTGTGCAAAGGACAAAGAGAAAAGGGAAAAGAGGATGCCCTTGTCTTAAGCCCCCCTGAGGAATAATCAAACTGTAGGACTGAACATTGATCAACACTGTGTATGATACCGAAGTTACACAAAACATCACCCATTGAATCCAGATCGGATGAAACCCCAACGCAAACAAGAGCGCATGTAAGTAGCTCCATTCAACTCTATCGCAAGCCTTTGACATATCAGTCTTGATAGCCATATACTCTTTTGAAGTTGAATCATGAACTCGCAGACTGTGAATTGCTTCATGCGCTAAAATTATGTTGTCTGAAATCAGCCGCTCAGGCCGACTGAAAAGGAGCAACAATGTCTGAAAGAAAAGGTTGGAATCTTGCCACCAAAATCTTTGATATCACTTTGTAAAGAACCGAGCATAGACTAATAGGCCTCATGTCGGACATTAGGGGCGATCCAATCTTTTTAAGAATTAGGCATAGTTGAGTAAAATTCCACTCCAGAGGAAAACAACCATCCACAAAAAACTTTAGAATCTCATTTGTGACCTGTTCCCCCACTATATCCCAATACTACTGGTAGAAAACCCCTGTCATGCCATCTGCTCATGGAGCACTCTCTCCTTTAATGGTAAAAACTGCTCGCTTAACCTCCTCTTTTGTAACCTCGCTGATCAACATGTTATTCAAAGCTTCAGAGATTCTCGGTTGAAATCCATCAAAGATTTCTTGAGGATTACTTGGATTTGATGTTGAGAAGAGATCTCTGAAATATTCTGCAGCTACCTCCCCTTTGCCCGCTTCAGAGGTATACAAAGTCCCTGATGGAGCAAGAAGACTTTCTAAACCATTTCTAGATCTTGCCGCGGTCACCGATGCATGGAAGAACTTTGAATTTTTGTCACCATTATCAAACCAATTATCTCGACTCTTTTGTTGCCAAAAACTTTGTTCATCACGGTAAGCAGCTACTAATTCTGTTTTCAGTCTTGTCATTTTAGGAAAAGATGGAGTCACTGTTGCATACTCCACTTCAAGCTTACTTTGGATAATGTTGATGCGTTCCAATGAATTAGAAACATTCTCTCTTTTCCAACAGCTGAGCTCTTTCCTGCATTTTCTCAACTTAGCTGCAACCAATCTCGAGGATCCTCTAGGAAGATCAGTCCACGCTCTAATAATAGCTTCTTTCACTTGAGGCTTGTGGAGCATTCTCTTATCAAATCTAAAGGAACCCCGATACGCTTCATTGGAAGATACAAGATTCAGAAGAACCGGACGATGGTCAGACCCCCTTTTATCCAAGAAAACTTGATTTGATGCCGGACAGAGGGAAAACCACTCTTTATTACCGAAACATCTATCAAGTGCTGAATCCATAAATCATGTCTACGACCACTCCAAGTGAAACTATTCCCATAACTTTGAAGCTCAGACATTCCACAACCATTGATCATATCAGAAAACGAAAAAAACTTGCATCATCTCTACTGGGCCCACCAATCTTTTCCCCATTGTGAAGTATTTCGTTAAAATCACCCAACATGCACCAGCTTTCCTTCCTTTGAGACCCAATTTTTAGTAAACTTTTCCATACAAAGTGCCGAAGTTTAACATTTGGTTTCCATATACACAAGGCATGAAAAACATTCGATCACCAAGCTGTACACTAAGATCCATTAAGTTCATGTCTACAAAGTTGATCTTAACGGAGGCAGACTTTTTTCCAAAATGACAACAATTGTTTTCATCTAGATACGGATGTGTATGCAACAGGAGGTTATCAAAGCTCCAATGCAACACTTAGTTGTAGTAAAGTATGCAAGCGAGTATCAATCCAATCCAAGAGTTAGAAAGTGCAATGAGAATGCAAGGATCGAGTAAAACTAGGCGAATGATGAATGATTTGGCAAAATTCCTAAAAACTAGATGCAGCAGTAAAATAGAATGCAAAACTATTTTAAAATTATTAGGAAAGAGTGAACTACCACGACGAACAAACAGAATGATTAAAATACAAGGCTATGAATTTATAAAAATTGACTAGTGGATCGACCACAGGATCGACCACTAGATCGAGCAACAACGATCGATCTCGTCTAAAAGTGCGAATGCAATGAAACTAATGACCAGGATGCAACAGGTATCAAGCGAATGATTAACAGAGATTAAGAAATACTAAAAAGAGGGTCTAGGGTTGAAATTCACGTTCAGGGGTTTCAAAGTTACAAGCTTGGGTTGAAAACTTTAGATCTATTCACTTTGTGAGGTTCTTTAAGCTTTGAAAACAAAACAAGATCCATCCATGGCGTGTGGTATGGATCACTCTCTCATTCTCTCCTCCAGACCCATGGCGTTTGGCGGAAAAAGAGATTGAGAGGCAAGGAAAACAGATTTCAAACACGCGGCTTAACTAGTCCTCTAAACTACCATGGCGTTTCGGAAAGAGTAACTAGCCTCTAAGATGTGACTTTCAGAGATCTCTGGATCCTGTCAAGGTAAGA